CTCGCTCGAGTGATCACCGTATCCACTCCGTGCGTCCGAAAGCCTCAGTATGTTCGGGAGGGGGGTTGCGGCTGTTCAACCCTCCGTCGCACCTCACGAAATGCGCCCATACGACCAAGTGTCTTAAATAGCCTCTGCTGAGAAAGCCCTACTCACTGCCTTTTCGCGACGGTGTTTTCCCACCAAAGTGGGAAGACGAAAAGCTGATATCCGGGTTGGTGGACAACTGGTAGATCAACTAGGGGAGTTGGCTAAAAGCTCTGATTCCAAACCAACCGAGAGGAGGCGTACGAACCACACAGTGATCACCAGCTCAATTGGGCTTCGAAGTTTATTGGGCACCTTGGACGTTTGACCCCGTCCAAAGGGTGTATGAAAAGGTGAACTGGACATCGGACCCCGATGGATTGCTGTTTTCACTCCGCCCCGCTGCCTTGCGAATCAGGCTTTGGCTACTCAAAGGCTCCGGTTGTGGATTCCTCAAGAAAATTCACCTGCATTGGCTTGGGCAACCTGGCAGTATTCAGCACACAAGCCAATCATGGAACATCTTTCTTATTCATAAAGATTATTGTACCGTGATTCGTTTGGTACACAGTCTGGATTCAGACGTGAATGAAATATATGATGATAATTATAATTATGTTTTCGGTGAATTCCTTTTCAAGCCTTTACAATCACATTTATATGAAACAAGTTCGATAAGGTCAAACAAAACAAAAACAAAAAGGTGAATGACTCATGTGTTCGGCAATGAGCCCAAGAGAACTCTAAATTTGTTGTGCGCAGTTTCGACCATATAATCAAAGTGATTACGTCATGGTCGTATGAAAGAGCAATTTTCTCTTCCCTTGGCCAGGGGAGTTTGAGAGCGTGAGTCAGTTTGCGTTGTGCGCACAGCTCAGGCTTCATGAGTCGGATGCTAATCGCCTCTGCGGTCGCTAACGTACGAAAACGTATTGCTCTTGAGGGGTGTGGTGAGACTCGATAGATGATTGTAAATGCTGAGCGCATGTCAACCAAGTGACCCGTCTCTGCCAGATGAGCAACGATCGAGCTGGACACAGTT